GGACATCGCTGCCACGAGCACACCACCCTGCATGTGAGGAGCGGCATGCTGCGGGCACCGGCCTCGCCAGCACACACGTGCAGCCACAAAATCCCAGGATATTCTGAACTGGGAGACACCCACAAGGATCACCGAGCCCAACTCAGGCGTGAATGGCCCAGCCGGGGATCGAACCCGCGACCCTGGGGTTGGCAGCAGCGGCCGGTGCGGTGCCGGGGACAGGAGCGAGGTGTCGGATTGTCACTCTGAGCGTGGCTGCGGGGTCACAGCAGCCCCCAGCCCGTTCACTGATGCTCCCCAAACCTCACCGGGAGGGAGCTGTGAGCGGTGGAACCCGCCGGGATGCCCGCGGGCACTGGCACGGCAGCCTGGCCCCGAGGCACCGGGGACACCGGGCTGCAGGGACCATGCCCAGGGAGGCGACAGCCTCAGGGAGACGTGGCGGGGGCCCAGCCCCTGGTTCTCCCTGTGCGTGCCGGATTGGAGTGCCGGGAACAGGCTGTCACAGCCCGGCCCAGCCCCGTGCATGTCTGCACAGGAAATGTTTGATTACAGCTTCATTCATCTCCTCTGCTGCCGTTGGAAAAGGGGACGCTGTTCCCGTGGCTCTCTCTGCCCGGCAGCAGCTCGGGACCTTGCGCTGGCCAGATCCAAGCCTAATTCCTATTTTTTTCCTTAGGACTGAAAGCAGTCCTCATTCAAGAAGAGGATGGCTCGCTGCTCGGATCCAGGCATGCAGCAGCAATGACCTTGGCTAGGCAACCATCTCCTGAATACAGAAATGGATATAAAAGCAGCAATCCCCTTTTTAAAAAACACACAGTCTTCTGCTAAGGTAGGGAAAGGCAGTGGTTTGTTAAATAAATGCGTCTGTCAGGGCTGGATTTCTTTCCCAGCTTTCCTAAATGCCCTTCACCAGCAGAGAGGGGGGAGGGGACCTGCTCTTTGAAGCCTTTTCCTTATGGGAATAGAAAACACGGAAAGAATTCAATTCTCTGCCACAGCCCAGCAGCGCTGATCCACACTTCAAACCCCAGAGCCCGGGAGCACGGCGGGCTGGTGGGTGCCTGGAGCCTGCAGTACCGCAGATTAGCCTTGTTCGATATCCAGCATCATTAAGTGTCCCCCGTGGTGTTAAAGCTCAGAAAAAGGGGCAGGAATGGAGACTGGGGAAGAAAAATTAGGAAATTCTGTGTAGAAAGAACTGCGGTTATCCAAATCTTTGATCAAAGCACCATCTAGTGAAGAACAGGCTCCTTGCAGCTGGCAGCGCTTGGGGCAGCTGCACCAACATTTGCCTTTCACCAAAGGTTTGCTGCTAAAAACCCCCAAATATCACCCAAATATGCACAGCCCGTGCTGGACCTGAACGAACAGGGACATGCCCCCAAAACTGTTGCCCTCTCCTTAAATCGTTGTGAGTGGAAACGCATTCCTCTCCTCATCTCCCACCAGAGAACCTCAGCCCCCCTGAAACCTGCAGGGAACGAGGCACCACAGGAAGAGAAGGATTTCCATGTTGTAGTTGGGGAGCTAAGGAAAAGAAAAGGTAAGTGAGCGGTCCAAGGTCGTGCAGGAAGCCGGAGGCAGATCCGGGAATAGAGATCAGCCACCCTGGACCCAGGGATGCCTGAACAATAGCACAGCCTCTCCCTCTGTTGTCATTTAACTCCTTCCTGACCCACCAAAACCTAGAGAGGGGTGGGCTCTCCACTCCTCTGCAGATGTGCCTGCGGCTTTTCAGCTCTTGGGGGCCCAGCCCTCAGCCTGTACCTGCTTTCCCCCCTCCAAACCAAGAAGTAGGGAAGGATAGGGTTGGATATCCTGAGAGCAGTGAAGCTGCAGGTAGGAAATACTTCTGTACAGTTGGCCTGAGCTGTCCCCTCATCAATTAAAGCAACCACAATTAACATATTTTTATGGTCTTATCTTTTTTATGGCTTATTATCTTTAAATGGTACCTCAGCTTTGCCATTTCTGTGAGTGACAAAACATCACTCTCTCCCCTGGAAGCATTCAGCTCCATTAAAATGATTGTGGAGTGTGGGGATCTTTAGCTGCAGGAGGAGAGGATATTGCTGCCTCTCCCTCTTGCCCAGATTTTGGGTTATCCGCATGGATTGGGGATTTGCAGCACGATCACACATCAAAAATGCAGTTTCACTAAGTCTACACTGTTCTCACACTGAGCTTGGAAATGCTGCAGTGCAGGCTCTGGAGGAGACAGTAATTACAAACAAACCTTATAGAAAATAGCTGGAAAAGAAAAATAATACTCAGGTGGTGGAAAAAAACTGAACTGCAATGAACTGAACCTGCAGCAAAATTCTTCCAGAGACAAGAGCTGAGAGAAATAGTGACCAAGTATCCAGGCAGAGTTCTCTGAAAGGAGTTGGATGTCCTTGAGTTAGAGCCCAGATCCAAACCAGAACTATAACTGAGGCAAAAGTTAAGACCATCTTCTTGTGTCACTGTCTTGAAGGGACACAGACAAATCTGCAAACAGCTGCAGGGGCAAAGAATTGGAAAAGCCCTGAGAAGCCCTTATTTTTCTGTTTTCCATCCTAGGTCTGTTTGTTTCCCCTACCCCCCTAGAATGTTTTCCTCGACTCCTATAAACCAAATTATGGGAGCAGGGAGGGGAGGATGAGAGTCTGCACCCTTGTATGAGAGGCTGAGACATGGAAATCTTTAATTCTACCACAGCCTTTTGAACATTTATATCTTCCAGCCACAGGGGCTGTGAAACTGGGAGCTCTCAGTTCAAACTAGTTCCCTGGGGAAGGGTTTTGTTACCCTGTGGGGATTTCTGCCTAGATCTTTGCTCTTAGGATAAGCAACCAAAGCTTTTCTTACAGAAAGAAGCTACATCTTATACTCCTTGGGAAAAAAAATGTGATAAATAAGAGCCCACAGGAGCTAGGACACAAAATTGCTGCCCTAGAGATTAGGGTTAAAGGGCTGCAGATCTGCACCCAGTGAGTGCAGTAAAGCAGATGTCACCAAACACAAGTGAAAACTCAAATCCTTGAGTTTGAAGACTTTTTCTTTTCTCCCCCTTAAAAAAGAGTTCCTGCATTACAAGAGGGCAGTGATAGAACAGCAGGATGTTTGTCAAGGAAGTGTTAACATGCTAAAAGGATTCCAGCCCTTTGCAGTTGTGGCCTGACAAAATGAGAAAGAAAAGAGGAGAGATTTGAGTGCTAATAAAAACAAGCATAGTTTTGGATTATGCCAACATTTACCAGTTGGGGCTTGCACAGTCTGCAAACCAGTCCTAGATTTGGGGTAGAGCCTTCGCTAATGGTTCTGAGAACAAAGAGACATGTTGACATAAGTAAATCATCTCATCCCCATCCAGTGTGTGATGTGTCAATGAGCAGGTTTAAATCAGAGGTGAATTTGCTGTTAATTACATTAGATTAACCTAAGGAAATGGAATCCCAGTCAAAGCAACAAAGTCAAGCTTTAATTCACTGACTTTCCCTCTCCAGTTGCAGCTCCAGTCTGACCCTGTGCTGTATGACTTGCTGGGCACTTGGTTTCAATCAACTCTGCCAGCACTTGCCTGTCTGGGGACAGATCATTCCTGTTAAAATAAACACCAGGTAAATGACCAGAGCAGCTTGGGCAGGGCTCTCAGGTAACTGCTGTCCTGTGCTTTAAGCTTCAGCTCTTGCTGCCCTGCTTGGGTGGGAAAGAAGGACTGAAATGGCTTTTTCCAGCTCTGATTTTCAGAAGACTGAACCAGCTACAGCTCCCAGTAATGCTGCCATGACATAATTCTTTTACTGGGCTTTATTTTTCGATTTCATTTGTGTAAATAAAATTATTGATTCTTCCATTTCATTACATATTGTCCCTGAAGTAAAAAAAGTGCATTATCATCCTTCCTTTCAGACTGTAATTTTTTGGAAGATTTTGAATTATTTTCTCATGTTTTCCCTGAAATATTGATCCCTTACTAATGATGAACCGGCACTGAAGCTTTGAATTAATTTCATTGTTTTCCCTATTAGAAGAGAGGAGCAGAAAAAAGTTACCATAAAAATTGATGATAAAACCATCTTTCAAAGAACTGCTGCAAAAATCTGTCCTTCATTATTTGTCCAGGGATATCAGGGGATTTACAGCTGCACAACTGCAGAACATTCAGGCCCCATTTCTGTACAGAGCTTGTGGAAGAGCAGAGAAATCGGGCTTTTCCCCATCATGGATTTCAAAGAGGCTCCACAGAAATGCCTCTTTTCTCCTACAGGAATTTACTGATCCTCAGAGTCACGCCTTGCACAGGGTCCTGTCCTGTGCCAATGTCATCTCAGGTACAGGGTGGAATTTTGGGGAAGTCCTGTGTAGGGCCAGGAGCTGGTGACCCATGGGGTTCCCTTCCAGCCGAGCTTTTTCTGATCTTCAGTTTTCATGTGGAGATATCAAAGAAAAGAGAATTTAAGTTTGTGCAATCAGCAATGAGCACGTAAAACAGTGATCATTGCAGCTGGGAATTCAGGATGTGCAAGGAGGGGTCAGAGATGGACCAGGATCTGCTCCGTGGGGCCCAGCAATGGCACAGGAGGAATGGACACGAACTGATGGCTAGGAAGTTCCACCTGGATGAGAAGAAATTTCCCCGTGCGGTGCCCGAGCTCTGAGCAGAGAGCAGAGAGCAGAGAGAGCCTCCCTCACATCCCTCCCTCACATGGATGGGGAGATTCCAGAGCTGCCTGGGTGCAGTCCTGTGCCGTGCTCTGGGATGGCCCTGCTGAGCAGGGAGGCTGAACCACATTCCCCACAGTCCCTTCCAGCCTGACCCCTTTGGGATTTTGGGATTCTGGGACTGAGGGCAATGCCCACCCGGAGGGGAACCCCGAGAGAGCGGAACCCCTGTTTGGTAGCGCTGCCGCCCGGCCGGGCTGCATAGGGGGGAGGACAGGTGAGGGCAGCAGCTCTCCGACAGAACTTCCGGTTGTGTCACGGCGGAGCGGAGTCCGGGCGGAAGTGCCGCGAGAGCCACTTCCGGCGGTGGCCATGGTGACGGCGGCGGCCAGGTGGGGACAGGAGGGGACAGGGAGGGACAGGAGGGGCCGGGGGACACCCGGGAGGGGCCGGGGGGC